GTGGCCACGCAGGAGGACATTGAGCAGCACGAGGCCGCCTACAGCAACGTGAAGGAGACGGGCGAGCGGGTGACGCAGGGCCAGGAGGACCCCGAGTACGAGCAGCTCCGGCAGCGCCTGGAGGGCATGGACACGGGCTGGGGCGCCCTGCGCAAGATGTGGGACACGCGGCACCGCTTCCTCACCCAGTGCCTCGGCTTCCAGGAGTTTCTCCGTGACGCCAAGCAGGCTGAGGTCCTCCTCAGCAACCAGGTAGGTGCAGGCGCCTCGGTGCACACGGGACATCTGTCCTGGCCGGACATGGCTCTCACTGGTACTGCCCATGCGTGTCATCTGTCACGGGTGGAGGCATCCCAAGTGCAGGGGGTCCCCAAATCCTGGAGAAGACCTGGATCTCGTTAGGCAAGGCTCTCCTGAGCCCATACTGGGGAGGCCACACGGGGGCGCAGCACACCGCCCCAACGGGCTCTGCAGCGGACAAGGGCTGGTGGCACCCTGACGAGGGTGTCCGTGATGACACCAGGGGCTGCGTGGCATGCAGCCTGCCCCAGCCCTGAGCCCCTCCGCCTTGCAGGAGTACACGCTGGCTCACCTCGAGCTGCCCACCACAGTGGAGGGCTCAGCCGCTGCCTTGCGCAAGTTCGAGGACTTCCGCACCAGCATGGAGAGCAGTGAAGAGAAGATCCCCAGCACGGTGGCAAGCGGCACCAAGCTGGTGGCTGATGGCAACATCTTCTCGGAGAAGATCACCGAGAAGTGTCAGAGCTTACAGGAAAGGTGAGTCCGACCCCCCGGTGAGGGGCGAGGGGTCAGCACAGACCGTCCTGGGGCAGCGCAGGCAGATGCTGCCCTTCTCTGTCCCGCCCAGGCACAGGACGAACGTGGCCAAGGCGCAGGAGGTGGCAGGTTTGCTGCAGGACAACCACGAGTTGCAGACTTTCCTTCAAAACTGCCAGGAGGTAGGGAAGCAGCGGGCACGGGTGGGCACAGTGGAGCCTAGGGGTCTGAAGGACCACGTCCTACCTGTGTCCCTTGGGCTGATGCTGGCCCGTCAGGGCTGGGTCTCAGTTGAGGAGCCCTGGGAGGCCCCACGCACCAGGGTCAGTGGGCTCTGCGGTGCCTGGCCTGGCACCGGGAGGGGGGACCCAACCGTGATGCCCATCCTGTCCTGCTCCCAGCTCACCCTGTGGATCAATGAAAAGATGCTGACAGCACAGGACAAGACCTATGGCGCAGCCCGGAGCCTCCATAGCAAGTGGCTGAAGCACCAGGCATTCATGGCGGAGCTGGCTGCCCACCAGGGCTGGCTGGAGAAGATCGACACGGTAAGTCCCGGGGGTGGTGGCATCCGGCTTCAGCAGGGCCGGAAGCTGTGCTGCCCTCGCCAAGGCAGGGAACAGCCACCGGGGATGCTCCAGGATGAGGTGGCAGCCTTCCAAGTGCCGGGTGGGGAAGCCCCATCCTGGAGCAGAGACGTCCCTGGGTTTGGCGCACTGGTGCCAGGGGCCCCGGTGCTCAGTGGAGATGCCAACTTCCGCGTGTGCCGGCAGGAAGGGAAGGAGCTGGCAGGCCGGAAGCTGCAGTACGGGGCGCTGGTGTCTCAGCGCCTGAGCGAGCTGCACGCGCTGTGGGACCAACTGCGGGCCGCCACCGAGGAGAAAGCCCGGCAGCTCTTCGAGGCCAACCGCTCGGAGCTGTACGCCCAGAGCTATGGCGACCTGGACCGCTGGCTTGGCAAGATGGAGGACGAGCTGCGTGCCACCGAGCAGGCCAAGGACCTCACCAGCACCAACCTGCTGCTGAAGAGGCTGACGGTGGGTGGGATGGCACCTCAAGGTTGGAGGGACCCAGACCTCTATCCCCTGGCTTGCCCGCTCCTGTAACCCCTTGCAGCAGGCAGAGAACCGTCTGCGCCTGGGGCACCAAGCATCCTGCAGGCCAGGTGGGCTTGGGGTGTCAGCACCTCTCTGCGCTAGCACCCTGGGGTCCCTGGGCATTGGTGTTTAAGGACCCAGGCCCTTTGTGGTCGCTCCGTGGGAAAGCTCTCCTGGCAAAACCGTGGGAAAAGGAGTGAAACTGCAGATGCGGCTTGGAGGGATGCTCTTCAGCCACGTCCCCAGGGCAGGCAAGGTGCCTCGTTCAGTGCTGCATAATGCCTGGCGAATTGCTGTCATATTTGCCAGCGCCTCGAGTCAAAGGCTCTCGTGGAGGCCAAACGGGGCTATTCCTCCTGCTCCTTCAAAAAAGGGTATTGCCTTGGGGGCTTCCTTCAATTAATAGGTGCAAGCTACCTAGCAGGGTCACCTCACCGCCACAAGTCCGGTTTGGGATGGCGGGTTTGAATCACTAGGAGCATCCCCAAACGAGGCCAGGGCTGAGTCCAAGACGGTCCCGCCGGGGTCCGCTGGTGTGGAGGGCCTGGACATCATTTGGGCAGGCCTGCTAGGGACTGCCAGCAGCTCGGCGTGCCTCTGCTCCCCTGGCACCCGCATCCCTGCCCTGCACGCTCAGCCCGACTCTGGGAACGGGAGGGGGTAAGTCCCCTTTCCGGGCAGGGTTTGGCCCACACCACTCTTCTCTTGCAGAGACTGGAGGAGCAAGTGGGAGCGCGGAAGGAGGAGATGGAGGAGCTGGTGTCGCAGGGCGCCCCGCTTGGAGGGGCCGCACCGGAAGCAGACAGCCAGGAGCAGAAACTCCAGCAGCGATTCCTCAACCTGCTGGAGCCCCTGGAGAGGAGGAGGAAGGAGCTGGAGTCGTTCAAGGCCACGTACCAGCTCAGGCGGGACCTGGAGGATGAGACGGTGAGCTCCCTCACGCGCCAGGGCTCTTTCTTTGCGTACCGCCATGCCTCTCCCGCCAGCATCGCTGCCCGGCGTCCCACCTGCGCTAGCTCCCGGCCC